GCCTAACACACACATGCACACACACACCCGATTTGCAGAAGGATAAGCAATATTTGGTAGTGTGTGCTTTTATTTCAGAAACTGACCTAAACCAGGATTTGTACAAAGATTAGGAAATTTTTAATATGGGTAGACAGTATAGAATGATGTTATTTCAACACCCAGTTCTCTTAGTGTACAAGATTTGGGTACTCAAGTATGAGGTTAAGCAGAACTTAATTTTAAAGTCCAATTAGTCACTTGTGTACAGTGACTAGATGGAGAGATGAGGGAAGGAGAGAGACTGAGCGGAACTTTCTGGGTTTACTCTTGGTACCAACGTGGGACCCTGGCGGAGCATATCCAGGGCAACCCCTCCCCTGGCACAAGTGGATGTGGGAAATCAAGGGAGAAGAAGGGAGCCAGGTTACAAAGAGGGAACCACTCCTGGATGGGCCTGCAAAGTCATCAAATGCAGTCTGCCCACTTTACAGATGGGAATGTGGCGGAATAGAGACAGGACATGAAGTTCCCTCAAAATCATGGGACGTCAGTGCCACACCCCGGAGGCTGACTGCGAGTCTGTGTTTCAAACTGGTTCCATCTATTCACTCACATTCAATTACTCATTCAACCACTCATCTATTTACTCTTTCATTCATTCTGTCATCCATCCATTTCTTCATTGACTCTCACCCTTATTTCTTTCTGTGTCATGACCCCCATGCCTAACACACACACCATCCGCTTTCCACTTGCTCTCATTTGTGCATCTATCTATCCTTTCATTTACCCTTATTCAACATTCATTCCTTCTTACATCCATTTATCCATTCCCCCCCTTCGTTAATCACTTAATTAATCCACTCACCTCTTTATTTACTTATTTAACATCCATCAACCTACCCATACATTTACCTATGCAATATATAAAAAAATAGCAGCATACCCATGACTAGCATAAGGCTTTGTAGAGACAAGTGTTCAGTGAATGCTTATTGCGTGACTAGTAGTCATAATACAAATTTCACTGTCAACTATTGAGCCTGTCTCCATACCAGTCACTTTGCCAGGTGATGCCCATGTTATTCTCAATCGCCACCAACAGCCCTCTAAGACACATACTGGAGTTTAACCTGGGATTTGAGAGAGTCCGTGTAGTTAGACTGTTGGGCTTCTTCTTCCCCCTGTGGCTGCCTCTTGAAAACAACAACCATCTTGTCCGGTTTGTTGAGTCCAGACTTGTGGACTTGACTGGCTTTAGTATCATGTCTCACTTTTAAGTGAGGAAGACAATGGGGAATGTTTAACATTTAACAACTCTAAAGCAATTTATGGTTTTTGAGGTAATGGCTCCTTTATTATTTATCACCCATAAAGGCTCAGAGTTCCCAAGATGTCCATAATGAGACTGTGACACATCTGGCACCGTTTCTCCTTTCTGTCCTGTCTTGCCTGGTTAACTCTGCTCACCCTTCAGGTGTCACATTATATGTTGTTTCCCCTCAAAGTCTTGCCCACCCCATCTGTGCTTCCCTAGTGCGTTATCACACCCCAATTGAGTATTCATCTACTATGCTTTCTGAGTCTCCTTCTCCCAGACCAGGCCACAAGCTCCTCCCAAGGGACCAGGCTGTCTTATCTCTCAATACCCAGGGCCTGCCACATAGGTCTTAGAAGAAATACAGGCAGCCTCTAGAAGTTGGAAAAGAAAAGGAATTGGATTCTCCTCTAAGGCCTCCAAAACAAAAAACCAAAAACCCAGCCTGCCAACCCATTTTGGACTTCTGACCTGCAGAACAGAAAGATAAAAAATGTATGTTGTTTCAGGCCGTTTAGTTTGTGACAACTTGTTCTGACAGCCATAGAAAAATGAATACTGTTAGCTTCGATTGGATCCCCCCTTATCTCATGAACCCTGGCATCCTCATCCTTATGTCTTCTACTTTTGTCCCTGTACATGCTCACCCCAAGTTCTCATTCATCCACTTACCACATATTAATTGAAGGGCTCCCATGTGTCAGGCACTGTACTGGGTGCTAGGAACACAGTGGGGAGTAGTAGGAGACACACCCTACTCTCATGAAGCAGATAGAGAAACCAAAGCATTATGCAAATTACTACTCACTGTATTGATTAGGGAGCACGTTAAGCTGCTGTAATAAAGAGATCTCCCCCACGTAAAAAAAAAAAACTATGCACTTGTATTTTTCTCTTGCTTAACAGTATATAGTTGAACAGTCTAGGGCTGTTTAGCAACAGCTTTGCTTTTATCAAAATGTTTTGAAGTCTGGTTCTGAGTCAGCAGGAAAGGAGGAAGGAGAGAGAAAGAGACCCATACAATCGTTTTTAAGCAAAGAACCCAGAGTTTGAACAAGTCTCTTCTGCTCACTCTCATGGGCCAGAGCTTAGTGCCTGGCCAGGCTTAGCTGCAAAAGTGGCTGGGGGAGAATATGGGCTCCAGCGTATGTCCTTCCAAAAATGGGAGGGGAGGTTCTATTACTTAAAGGGAGAAGGGAAATCTGCATGCTGGGAAGCCATTAGCCATCTCCATCATTGCAACTACAGCAATAAGAAGAGGGCGTTTGGGAAGCCTGTGATCGGAGCATTTGACCTAACCATGGAGATCTAATGGCTTGGCTGAAGAAATTATGGGAGCTCTTATAGTTCAGCAGATGTTAACTAGGTGAAGAGGGGCTGTAGGGGTGTTCTAGGCAGAGGGAACAGCATGTACAAAGACTCAGATCAAAGAAGTCGCAAGGTGACAGTGGTGAGGAACTGAAAGTTGTGTTCTACTGCCACCTTGCTCAGCACTGAAATCCTATATGTACTCACTACTACAGGTCTGCACTGGAAAAATGGTCAATGTAGCTGAAACAGCG